AGACAGACGAACCAGTCTCCTGACTTGGTATAAGGCAGTTCCCTATGTCCAAATGCAGAAGGGAGGGAGAGTGTGTCATTGTTCCCTGTGGCATCTGCACATCACTTGAAGCGGCCTGATCCCAAGAAAGACCCTTGGTCTACCCAGGTCAGTCTTCTCTCCTCTGACAGGCACCTGTGCTTTAGGGTCTCAACAGAAGGTCCTCCACATCACCCACGATGCCATCCTTTGAACCGGATGTGACGGGAGACTGCGGCCTGCTACAAGCAAAACGGACGCTCTGCTGAGCCACGGCCCTACCCCACAACTGCCTGAATGAACAAGAGTTGTTTTCGGAGTGTCAAGTACCAGCACATCCTGCCTGACCAGAGATGACAGAGGGGCAAAGGAGGGAGCAGATGCGCGCACACACAAGGCAACACCCCACCCCCCCGAGAGGACCCTCAAAAACAATCATCTGCTGCCCTGACCTGGATAGCCCGGGCAAACCTGATCTCATCAGATCTCGGAAGCTAAGCAGGGTCGACCCTGGCAAGTATTTGGATGGGAGACCTCCAAGGAATACCAGGGCTGGGACGCAGAGGTAGGCTAATCAAGCCACCTCTCTTGAAAAAAATACCCTCAAAGCCCCCGGTAGGGGTCGCCAGAAGTCAACCAAGACCAGTGTTCCCTCTAAGCTGAGTTAGTGTGAGCTAGCTCAGAGTTTTTTAACCTCTGGCTCACACAGTTTTGTCTCAGCTCAGGAAGGATGGCTCCAGAGCAAACTAATGTATGCAGTAGCCAAATCGCTCACTCACAACTTTAATGGCTGTAGCTCACAAAGTAGAAATTTTGCTCACGAGATTCCACAGCTTAAGAGGGAGCATTCATATGACCTCCAGGCAAGCACACAAAACACACACACACATACATACACAATCATCTGCCTGGCACTTCACTCGGAGCAAGACAGGGAGGGATTTCACATTACCCTTTTTAACCTGTTTTGAAGCCATTTTTGATCCGCCATGGAGTAAACCAGTATACGGCTGCCATTTCACACATGGCTTTCCCCTTCCGGTAAAGAGCTGGATCTGAAGCAGTTTGCCATTTCTGACTGTACCGCTTTTCCCCCGCCATTTTTCACCTGCGCAGGCGATCTCCGGCTTTTTTTTTTATGTTCGCTTTATAGTGCTATAGCGCTATAGTGCTATAACACAACTCCCCAGGCATTCCAATGGGGCTGATATAATGCTGTTGCGTTATAGCGTTATAGCACTATAAAGCAAATGCCCCCCCCCCAAAAAAAGCTGGAGATCGCCCGCGTGGACGAAAAACGGCGGGAAAAGGTGCATCGGAACTGGGAGAGGAAACTGAATACTACTTGGAAGCGGCTGACAGGTAAAATGCTTCAGTCCCATTTCCTAAATGGGACAGAAGCGTTTGTGTGTGAAATTACAAATATATTCCAGTAGGGGACCGGTTCTAAAACGGTTCTGTCTAAAATGACAGACCAGAAACCGTTTGGGAACCCTTCCTCTTCTGGATTATATCGTCTGTCTGAAATTCCTCAGGGCGTGGCCCCTTCATAGGCATCCTGGAAGATGCTCTTCAAAGCTGCAGGTGTTTCACGCTTGTCCTTATAAGCCCTGGCAACAGTCCCTGAGCTAGACCAAAAAGGCCAGTGTGGCAGAGAGGTTAGAGTCGGACTAGGATCTGGGAGACGCAGGTTGGAATCCCGACTCTGCCACGGACGCTTGCTGGGTGACGTTGGGCCAGCCACACTCTCTCAGCTTAGCCTGCCTCACAGGGTTGTTGTGTGTACAAAATGGAGCAGAGGATAAAGACGAGAGGGTCCTCATCAGAGAGAATCACTGGGGTGTAAATAAACAATAAAGCAAATAATTCTGGAGGGCAGCTGTCTGGGTCTGCAGCACCACCTTTGAGATCAACAAGATTTTTGGGGTATAAACTTTCAAGGCTCAAAGCTGCCTTCATCAGATCTCGTTCTCTGACTAAGGGATCTTCGGCTCTCGGAAGCTCGCACCCATCGAAAATCTTGTTGTTCTCTAAGTAAGACTTAAAAGTAAATTACGCTTCACAATCATTGCTGCCTCCCCAGAGGTACCTGTGCTAAACTTTCTCTCTCGCTCGCTGAAAAACTCCGAGGGACCCGGCAGTCCGAGAAGCAGTAAGGCCAGGGTCCCACAGCTCACATTGGTCTGGCACGGGCAGGCAACTGGGAGCCAGAAGAGACTCCATTTTGAACCGGCCGAGCTAGATCACGAGGAACCGAGTCCAGTAGAAGGAGTACGTATGCAGGGCCTCGCAATCAGCTGATAATTAACAAAGATCTTCATCGATGGACTTATCCTTCAATCCCATCTTCTCTGACCCGGGCACTAATCTGGGTAAACTGAACTGTCTCCTTCTAAGTAATTTCCAGAGCCTAGCACCCTTTCCCCAACCGACATCGAGCCAGTGACATGTAGGAAGACCAACACTGGTGAAACAAAGCATCCTGCGTGACTCGATTTTAATCTGGCTACTCATTACACTCCGGGTCAGCCCACCCCTGGCTCTCCAAACCACATCTGAACTGGCACTCTGCGCCTCAACCTTTGTACAGCTCTTGAGGTGCCCATAAGAGTGTACCCTCAGACTTTATCTGAGACTTTGACATGAACCACTGGTCGGCCATGTCCTTCTTCTTCCACATGGATTCCAGACTTCAGGATCAGGTGAATATTTTTTGTTGTTGTTCACTCACACAGTCGAGTCCAACTCTTTGCAACCCCATGGACCACGTTACGCCAGGCCCTATTATATTACCCTAATCTAAAACCAAGGAGCTGTGGTGACTCAAGTGGTTAAGACGCTGAGCTGCAGGCTGTGGAAGGTCAGTAGTTCAGCAGTTCGAGACCCAGGGTGCCGCATGATGGAGTGAGCTCCCATCTCTAGTTCCAGCTCCTGCCAACCTAGCAGTTCGAAAGCAAGAAATTGCAAGTAGATAAATAGGTACCACTTCGGTGGGAAGGTAACAGCGTTCTGTGCGCCTTGGTGTTTAGTCAAGCCGGCCACGTGACCACGGAAACGTCCTCGGACAGCGCTGGCTCTTCGGCTTTGAAACGGAGATGAGCCCCGTAACCCTAGAGTCGGATTCGACTGGCTTTCGAGCAAGGGAACCTTTACCTTTACCTTTAATCTAAAACCAACCCCCTTCTTGTCACTATTGATCACCTCTCCGTTTCCTAACTCTGTGTGTGCTGATCTGTTATCTGTGCATGAGTGAGTCGTGTGAGCTTTGCATTTATCCACAATAAAACTCCATTTATTCAATTAAAGGTCTCTTCTTTCCACTGTATCTCTTGCAATTTGACCCTCGTATACACAGAGTATAAAGAACCCTTGTACACATGTACTGCCCCAGGCAGTCCGTGTAACAGAATTCCTGAGCTCAACCAAAAGGTGTAATGATAACTAATCATTATTATTGTATGGCACTGTGTGTGGTATAGCCAGGAAAGCCAAAGATGGTCTGGCAGCCTTACGTTCTACCTCTTATAGCAAACTAGACTTATTTTTCTAGCCTGAGAGCTCTGAGAGAACTGTGACTGGCTCAAGGTCACCCAGCAGGCTTCATGTGGAGGAATGCGGAATCGAACCCGGTTCTCCAGATCAGAGTCTGCCACTCTTAACCACTACACCACGCTGGCTCTCTGCCAAAAGGTGTCCCCCCCGCTCCTTTACCTTTCTTGTCCCCGTCCTGTGGGCCGTAGTAGGCAAACAGCCGTTCCAGAAGGGTGTCCTCGTTGCCTCCAGGCTGAAGAGACTCCTCCTCCAGTAGCCACAGCAGGCCGCGGGCCTCATCTGTCCGGGCGAGTGAGCGGACCTGCAGAGACGTCCCCAACAGCCCCCCGCCCCAGTCACTGGAGTTTGCAATTGCCGCTCACCGCAGCCAGGATCGTGGTGGGGTGAAGGAGGGGTGAGAGAGGACATGCGGGTGCGCCTGGGCTGAAGGAAACCAAACCGTGTACCACCAGCACCCCTCCGTGCCCCAGCTTGCCTGGGAAAGCCCCGTCCTTGCAGAGGCAAAAGCCGCCGCCGGCAGAGTCGCTTGACTCCAGCTTACAAACGACAGTTTGCTGAGGAAGAATCAATACTTAATACCGGGGACAGGAGAAACACACATTGTCTAGTAAAATGTTCCAGCACGAGACGTTTACTCTGTAGAAATTCAATCTGGAGGCTTAAGCAGCAAAATTACTCCCCGGCACACAGCAGGGAGCAAACGCGGCAGCTGCTACAGACACACACACACACACACAAGCACACAAGCACACACTCAGTGCCTGCTCTGCTGCTGCAAATTGCGGAAGTTGGGAACTAAGAGGGACAGGGATTTTTCCTGGGGCACAGGTGGAGGCTTCCAGAAGGGCCCCATTTTTTTTGCAGCGTCCCTCTCCCAACGCTGCTCTTCACTGCCGCTACTTACCCATGCCTGGCTGCTACCTCGGTAGGGATGCCACCCTCCGGGTGGGACCTGGAGATCCCCTGGAATTACAGCTCATCTCCAAGTCTACAGAGATCAGTTCCCTCGGGGAAAAGGGAAACTCTGGAGGGTGGACCCCACGGCACTGGACCCCACTAGCCCAGACTTCCCCTCCAATCCATCCTGGTCTTCCCTTGCCACTGCCACATGTTGATGCCACCTCTCCAGCCATTGGGGCTTAGTGGCGCCACCTCTGTGAGAACCGGCTTGGTGTCGTGGTTAGGAGCGCGGACTCTAATCTGGGAGAACCGGGTTTGAGTCCCCGCTCCTCCACATGCAGCTGCTGGTGTGCCCTGGGGTCAGTCATAAGTTCTTTCAGAGCTCTTCTCTCAAGGGCAGTTCTCAAGAGAGCTCTCTAAGCCCCACCGACCTCACAGGGTGTCTGCTGTGGGGAGGGGAAGGGAAAGGAGATTGTGAGCCGCTCTGAGACTCCTTCGGGTAGTGAAGGGCGGGGCATAAATCCAATCCCTTCTCTGGCTTCTTTGGCAACCTTGCTGGCCTCCAGAGTGCCTCTTGCCCTATCCACAATGCAAATAGCTTTTCTTATAGGGAGTACATACAAAGAACACTGCATAATTTTTTTGGAGACAGTTTGGTGTAGTGGATAAATGCGCGGACTCTAATCTGGGAGAACCGGGTTTGATTCCCCACTCCTCCACTTGCACCTGCTGATGTGACCTTGGGTCAGTCACAAGCTCTGGCACAGCTGTCCTTGTAAAAGAGCAGTTTCTGTCAGAGTTCTCTCGGCCCCACCCACCTCACAGGGTGTCTGTTGTGGGGAGGGGAAGGGAAAGGAGTTTGTAAGCCGCTCTGAGACTCCAAGTGAAGGGTGGGGTATAAATCCAATCTCTTCTCTTCTTCTTCTTTAAAATTTACACGATGCGCGGCACCTCTCTTTTTATTTTCAAGGGGAAAACCATCACAGAGCCAGTGGCTGGCAGTAATGGAGGAGTGAGCTTTTGAAATCACACTGCGCTACGGTGGCATTTAACTCTGAAACGGTATACTTTCAAGGACAGGCTGACTGCACTCGAGTGGAGGATGTCATCTCGCTCATGGATCTCCGGGGGGAAATAAACATTCCTCACATTCTGAAACACTGAAAACTGGCCCACAATTCTACTTGGGCGGCGGCGGCAGCATCAGGGCCAGTGTGAGGAGGGCACCCACGACTGAGGGCACCTCGTCGCCAGGCTGGCGGGGTCCGACCCACCTGTAATGCTCTGGGGCTGGCTGCTGCTCTTTTCGCTCTCCGTTTACCTGCTCCCGGAAAGCTGAGCGAATGCAACTGTGTCTTAAGGATTCTTTGAAACACCGTTACCTGCCTTGAAAGGAAGCATGATGGGGTATCAACTTAAAAAACAAGGAGGGGGGGCGGGGGCGCTCCATCACTCCGACTCTCCTGGGAGAGCGAAGCTAGAACAGTTTTAGGGCAAACTGCTCTTTGCCAGAGTGTATGGAAAGCTCTGTTCCTTGCAAGTTAATTACCACCAAGAGGATAAGCGAGGGAGGTGGGGTGGGAGGCGTCTTTCTCTCTCTCTGTCTCTCTCTGTCTCTCTCTCTGCCTCTTAATGCAGCACAAACTGCCGAAATTCATCAGCACGGCAGCCGCACCGCGCTAACAGGCCCCTCCATTAGAATGACAAGCAGCAGCAGGGGCCTTCAAGCCTCACCGCTTCCCCACTTCTTTATTGGTCCAAACCCTAATGGAAAAGGAAAATTATGGGCTGGGAGGGTGACAGCCACGCAGTGGTGGCTTACTTCCCGGGGCTTCTCCCCCACCCAACACACCCGGCAAAGCCACACTCTTGAGCTCTGGTGAGGGCCTTGGCAATGGCTAGCGGCCAGAGAACCCGACTCCCTCGCCTTGTGCTTGGAGGTGTACGAGGAGGCCCGTGCGCGCGAGTGAGCGAACAAGAGAGCCGCCCAGCAGAATGTCAATTGTGGCTCAGAACTGGTGCTAAGCAACGGAACGTTTCTGAAAGGGAGCACACGCATTCGGATATATCCTAACATACTCTAACGTGCAATCGACTTGTTAGCACTGTAAGTTATTCAGAGAGGAATTATCTCCCTGAACGAGATGGGGGGGGGGGGGAGAAGACCGTTATCATCCAATCAGCAGCCAGAGGGCTGCACGAGCCCCTCACTGAAACCATTCCGAAGCGGCCGCTGGCAGGAGAGGAAGAGCACATGTGATAAGAAAGGGAAATGACCCCCCAAATCTGGATATGCTTTCTAGCTGGGGAACAAAGGGCTGATTTCTTTAACACTGTTTCTCAGGGAACTGAGTCTCTGCCACTACAATCCTAACCTCCTCCCGGTCAAGAGAGCGTCAGACGACTCCCACTGGTGGACCCTCTGCCATTTTGAAAGGCACCTGACCTTCCTTATTGCTGCGTGCTCTACAGCAGAGTCGTCAAACATGTGGCCTGGGGGCCGGATCAGGCCCCCGGAGGGCTTCCGTCAGGCCCGCAGTGGAACTGGCTGTCTTCTGCTTCTTCTTCCAGTTCTGCTGCTGCTGCGTCATCGTAGGTTTGCAGCTTACAGATACACACCCGAACAGCACACTCAAGATGGCAACAGTCCAGGCAATTTGATGCAGTAATGCAGAGCAAGAGGTGTCAGTTATCAGACACAAGTAAACAAAATATTGCAAGAGTGCTGTTTTAAGCATATTTTTATTTTAAGTTAAAAAAAACCCCTTTGTGTTTGTGTCCTTTATAAAGTTTATATCTCCGCTACCTGGCATTACATTGTATGACACACGTGGTATGACACACGTGGTATGACACACGTGGTATGACACAAGGTCTCATTTATGTCAGATCCGGCCCTCATGACAAATGAGTTTGACACCGCTGTTCACCAGGGCTCTCGAAAGTAGCCCAGCACTTTCGACAGCTAGCAGGGACAGGCGATATGCACTTGCCTACTCCTGCTTCAGGTCAAACAGGCTTTGCAGATTGACTCCGACAAAATACAAAATTTGCTGTCCAGCCTCTGTCTAGAAGTTTGAACTCTAGCTTCCTTCCCAATGTATTTGAAAAAAGTGTTGCATGCGCACGACAGCTCACACCTTGAATAAACCTTTGTTGGTCTTAAAGGTGCCACTGGACTCTAAATTTGTTCTCCTACAAAATCCATTCGCCATAATGCTTGGGGCTTTTAAATTTTGAAGAATACTGATGGCTGGGGGGGGCATGAACGGGGTCTATTCATTATGAATGGTGTGGAGAGATACATTTTTCTCCCTTCCCCAAAGCTCTCGGGCTGCCTCCCCTAATACCTGCCCATGTACCAGCTTCTCTTTCCCCACTCATCTCTCTCTCTCTCTCTCTTTCTCATCTGACCCCTCACCTGGGATGGGACACACATCCTCTGCAAGAAAGCAGCATTCTGCAGGGCTGGTGGATGCACAAAAAGCCCCCCCCTCCTCCAGTGGTATCCGGGAAGGCCATGGATGATTAGAAGGAGCTTTCCGTAATGTTGCCGATGGCGCTTTAGTGGCTCGTATCGTTATGGATGGTTAAATCACATTTTTGGACTATTTGAGCAAATCCCTGGGCAGACTGGCTTTTTAGATGCTGGTTTTCAAAGATGAACTGTGTTTTAAGTTATTATAAGATGCCTGAAGCAGAAACTGAAAGGGAGAGCTTTTTTTAAAAAAAAATAAAAATTAAGTAACAGTTTCTACAGCTCTGTCCCGTCCCCCCATCCCCCCCCCCAACGTTGATATGTCTGCAGGTTCGGGACAAAAAAGAGAAACACAGTGCATCATGATTTTTTGGAACTTATCGCCAGAGGGTGTGGTGATGGCTCATGGCTCAGATGGCTTTAAGAGGAGACAGAGGAGGAGGAGGAGAGGCACATCACATCGACGGCTGTTGACTCCAAATACGGAACATAGCACCCATATGCAGAGGGGCAGCCTGCTGCCTTTAAGAGCCCAATTGGGCCACTGAATCCAGCACCTACTTCCAACATGCCCCACGTCTCAGTTACCTTACTCAGAGGAGGAGGAGGAGGAGGA